ATAAATATGTAATGATTTTAAAATGCGTAGATGAAGACACGGGAACTTTAACAGCTCACGATACTGTGTAGATGACCGAGAAACCGTAGTGAGCATGATGACGCAATTTAGCACAACGTATCTTGAAAAATCATAATCTTTATTTTTTTCACGCATATCAAATCATCCTTTTTCAGACAAGATGTTTCCTAATTAGATTTGAATACATAAATTGCATTTTGAATTAGAACGTTATCTTAAGTAAGCAGCAAAAGCAGCATGGTTTAAAAACATCTTGCCAGCAGGAGATCTATGCGGAAAAGGGGAATGTTTCAGAGTATTTCAGCAGAAGAAGGGTAGGAGTCGGAAAAGTTTCAGTTCAGAGTTTTGGTTTACAATTAATTTGATTGGACAAGAGGCATCTGCATTAAAACGTTACGTAAGATAGAAAAATCTGGAACCTGTGAGAAGAGATGAATTTAGGGGCAAATCACCAAATTTAGAATGTTAATTTTGAGATCGCCAATTATTTTTTTGAAACAGCTATCATATTTTGTTGTATCTTACATATACAGTGGATGGACAAAAATATGGAAACACCTTGTGAAATGCATGTTTGAAAAGAAAGATTGATTTTAATGAAATATGTAGGTGGCACTGGCGTTTTTGACTACTGACGCCACCTATACAACTTCGTAAATGTGCTAAACAGTTCAGTTGTTGTCGGAGTACTGTTATGTGAGGTTGTCTTTGCATTATGTCAGAGTTAACAGACTTCGAACGTGGGCAAATTGTTGGAGCACGTAGGGTAGGTGCTTCCGTAAGTAAGGTAGCGGAGGTGTTTAGTGTTTCAAGAGGTACTGTATCGAAGATTTATTCCGCATATTTGAAAAGCGGAAAAACATCATCTGCTAAATCACAGCGTGGACGAAAATGTGTCCTGAGTGATCGTGACAGACGATCATTAAGGGCAATTGTAACGAAAAATAAGAAGACCACAGCTGCAAAAGTTACTGCTGAAATGAATGTTATGTTACCGAACCCTGTGAGTACCAAAACAATTAGAAGGGAGCTTCATAAACAGGGAATTTCTGGCCGTGCTGCAATTGAGAAGCCACTCATCAGGGATGCTAATGCCCATAACAGGAAAAGGTGGTGTTTAAGTCATAAAAGCCTGGACTATAGAGCAGTGGAAGCGAGTAATATGGTCTGACGAGTCTTCTTTCACATTGTTTCCCACTTCTGGCCGAGTTTACGTCTGGAGAACGCCATCTCAAGCCTATAATACAGACTGCTTGTTGCCAAGAGTGAAACATGGCGGAGGTTCTGTTATGGTTTGGGCAGCCATATCGTAGTTCTCTGCTAGCCCCATGATAACTGTGTCAGGGCACATGACTGCCAAGACTTATGTGAACATTTTGGCCGATCAAGTTCATCCCATGGTACAAACTTTGTTCCCCGATGGTGATGGTGTCTTCCAAGACGACAAAGCCCCTGTTCACACAGCTCACATTGTCCAGGACTGGTTTTCGGAGCACGAGGATGAGTTGTCCCATCTCCCCTGGCCACCACAGTCACCAGACCTGAATATTATCGAACCTTTGTGGTCTACATTGGAACGGAAAGTGCGTTCTCGTTATCCACCGCCAACATCGTTATTTGAACTTGCCACCGTTTTGCAGGAAGAATGGTATAATATTCCCTTGGCAAACATACAGGTACTGTATTTATCCATTCCGAGAAGACTGCAAGCTGTTTTGGATGCCAACGGGTTTCCTACACCATATTAAGCAAAGAAACATGTTTTTTTTAAAGGTGTTTCCATGTTTTTGTCCAACCCCTGTATATATACTATACACACCCACTCTGTTACTCAGCTGAGTGAGCTCAGTTTTTTTTATTTCTTGTATCGCACCTAAAGTACATGATTATATATATATAAAATATAATGTACTTAAAGTACATGATTATATATATATATTATATATATATATACACACTGACTCTGTTACTTGGCTGAGTGAGCTCAGTTTTTTTTTTTATTCTTGTCTGTTGGTAAATTGTGCAATAAAATTATTGAATTATCTTGTTCTTATCTTTCGGTTAAGGTTTTATGCCTTTGGCTAACCTGCATGCAAATCTTGTAGAATTATCAACCATTTAAAATTTGTTTTAGTGTGGCTAAGCCTAATTTTTTTACCATAGTAGCCATATTTGTTCGCATTTGGAACTTAGCAGAATAGTGGATTTTTTTGCCAATCTAGAGAAACTTAACTTCGCAACAACAAAATTAATGTCTTCTTTTATTATTTCGAATTAAATCATGCTTAATCCATTCTGGAATTATCATTTAAGTTATTTAAATTATCCCATATATTGACTCAGCATAACGTCCACAACAAATTAAGTCGGTTTCTACGCCTTCAGTGTTTTTTTGCCAAGTGGAACCAAAAGTAAATTTTCAGTTTTGTGCACCAAAAAAACTGCCTTCCTGTCCACTGGCTGAATTACTTGTTTTTGCATAGGAACTCTAATTTTAATTGTAAAAATTATTCTTTAAATTGTTTTAACTGTATTTCTGTTTTCTATATTTCAATTTTTAACAAAAATATTTTGAGGTTTTTTATGTGTTTTTGCATTGTTGCAAAGTGAGAATTGAATTAATTGAATGAGAAATATATCTCTAATGAAATTTGAGGAAATAAGTTTAAATGAAATGTGTATAATTGAATATTCTGTACAAGGAAGTCGTGTATTTTTTTGTGTTATAAAAAGTGACTTTTAAATATTTAATAAAATTTTTTGCAATAACCCAAATATTATTATAAAAATTATTTTTGCACTTTAAGCTTAATCATAAAGTGCATTTGGGCACACAGTGACACTTAGCAGTCTACGATCATGGATCCATGGGTGAACTTCATTCTTTTATGTTAATGAATCAGTACATGGGAAAAGATATGAGAAAGACATTAAAGTGAGGAGCAGTTTAAGGAGATGTTAAAGTGATATAATGTCATATGAACTGATGAAATGTTTCTCTGAAATTCCTAAAGTTTTTCATTGTACGCGAGTTTTAATTTATTCAAAGTAGCTTGGCCTATTATTTAAGGCTTTATTAAACATTTAAAAATAGCTAAGTGCTGTATAATGTATGTTTTTGGATGGTAGTAAACTTTTTTTATTCCTTTTGCATGCCTTAACCTTTGTTCTGGGTATGTTTTAGAATGATAAATGAATCATTCAGTTCATCATTTGCTGAGCAAGCAGGCTGTAGAATGCTAATAATTCAATGCAGGAGTTAATTTAATATGCAATCTACTTGATTTTTTTCTTAGTGAATTTAAACCATTTTCTTACAAAAAGTTATAAACAAAAGCATTTCTGAGGCAAATGGTTCTTGAGTGATTTGTCATTAAAGTAATCTAATAAGTCTTTTATATCTGATTTTGCAAAAAGTTTGTTCTTAAAATTAATATTAACAAAATTAACAAATTTACAGCATATTTATAGTTTACTTTTTAGACTTATACTTTATTACAATTAAGCTACTTGCAGTGTTTTCTATTTTGATTCTTCTTTTGTCTTCTGTCGTTCAGCTATCATTTTTTACTGCTTGAATACATATTCATTTAATTACTAGAAATTGATGTAATCTTCAGTTTATGCTCAGTTGCAAATGGTATTCATGTAATTTGATGTAGTTTCATTATATTTTTACATTCTTATTATTTCTATTTTTTAATCATTGACTTCAACTAATTGAAAATGTGTTGTAGTTTCTCTAAGTACCATATCGGCTATGCCCATCTTATTTGCACATTTTAATATTTAAAAAAATAATAAGATAATTTATTTCTTTTGCCTTAATTTTTTTGCTATAAGAGAACATATTTAATTTGTTTTATTTTAAAAATATAGTATTTAGATCACTTAATTACTTTTCTCGTAGAATAAATATCTTTAGTGTATCATGCTCATGTATATCAGACTTCTTTGATGTATCTCAACATCTTCAGAAATGCTAGATTGTCTTATATTTAATTCTGAATCTTATGTTTGGATTTTTTTAATATTAATTCAAAAAATTAAATTTGAAGGAAAAATTTCATAACTGAAATCATGCTAAGTTTTTCTTCAGAAGTGAATTTTTAAAAAATTTTATGTAATTAATCATAAGATTCCCAGCTTTTCATCATATCTCCTGATCTCCTGGTAGATCATCTAATCTTTCAGTATTTAATTTTAAGCTTTTTCTCAGCATAGTACTTTTCATTAATAAATTAAATTAATTGGATTAATGAAACTTAAATTTAAGCTAACTTCATTCCTCCCCACACCCACTGATTTTCAGCATAATTTTTCTTATTAAATTGTATTTAAACTAAATTGTGTTCATCTACTGTACATATTTATTGAACTTCGTATTAAGATTTAACCAATGTTTAATCAGTTAATATTCATATTTAATATTGTTTTATGGTTATCCATATGATAGTATGTACATTAATTATTAATTTTATTTTCCTTGTGTTTAAAAAAAGTCTTTTGGTAAATTAAAGCTTTCTTTCTGTGCTCAAGATTTTGTTAGTATGAAAGTATAAGAAAATTACAAAATAAAATTAATCAGGGAAAATAAAATTTAAAACATGTAATGAAATATTAGTATATTTTTCATCACAGTTATGTTATAAATAGTTCAGTAATGTGAATCATGCAGTATGAAGCAAATTTAAGTAAATTTGTAGTTCTTTGGAAATGCTGCCGTCTTGCTATAACATAACTCGAATCTCCTCATTTTTAGTATGAAAACCTTTGCAGCTAGGAGCTGCTTTTCTAAAGAGTTCTATGTTTTTATCATAGTAGTTTGATTTATTTGCCATTAGTTTAAGATTAGATTTGACAGGTTTTAATAGATAACCTTTTTATTTTGTATTTATTTCATAAATGTATCATCATTAAAGTAAACAACACATACAGAGCATTTTTATGTAATTCTTTGCATGTTTCATCATTTTTAGGTTGTAAGCGAATTCTTCCCTGTGCTTTGTATTCTGCACTTCCAACAGATCATCAGACTGCAGCATTTAAACCAGCGCCATTGGTAAGATTTTTACATATTGTAACTGTTTTATTTGTGTTAAATTTTTATATTCCTTGGAGAAACTGGTGAATGCATAATTACTTCCATGTAAATTATTTGCTGTTTTTTGTGGTGATAATATTTGCAAGTATATTGTTTAAATTACTATTACATGTTAACATATGGTTTATTAAGCTTTCAAATATCTTCAGTGAACCTTAATTTTATCTCAAGACTAAAAATACAACCTATTCACTATTAATCCAAGCAGAAAATGATTACAATAGTGTAATCAGGATTATTTTGGAAGATTTTGCAGTAGTGCTAAAAATCACTTAACCTCACATTTAGAATATTCATAAAAATGGACTATGAATTAATTCATCTGCATATTATGGTCAGGAATGGAGGAGGTAGCTACTGTCACATAATGTGACAAAAATCGGGTTTTTGCATTTATAGTTTTCCCCCTTCATTTGCTAGTTCTTTGCTTGTATTTAATTGGCATATATTTCTCCTTATATAAATATTAATGCGAGGTAATTTCTTATAAAATAATTTTGCAAATAATATAAAATATAAGTCATTATCTTTGTAAATTATATAAATATTAATTTGCATTTTCAGTTAATGTGCTTTTTTTAATTTTATAATAATGATTGTTTAATTTATCTCATTTTATTGTAAATTTCTGTACATCTTTTAAAATTATTTTAAATTTTATGTTGTATAATTATTTTTAATTAATTTAATATGCTTTATTCTGTTACTCTGTGTGATAGCTGTTGGAATTTTGTAATTTGTCTGAGTTGAATCTAAAATTTGCACTTTAAAATCTGTCTGGCTTAATGACTTATTTATTGGCATTGAATAAATTTTCTAGATTTTAGAAAGCAAAATTGGTGTGCATCTCCTTTTCTGTTTTGTACTGAAGTTACTTTGGTAAGAAATGGGAATTGGCATATTTTGGCCTTGGGGAGAAACAGGATTACCCATACATACCAGCAATTATGAATTAGACTTTTTTATTCAAAAGTTTCTAAAATATACATTCTTTCGCGTTTTGAAATTCGGCATCTTTTTTTTCTTAGCGATAATAATGCCAAATGTGATTTATGGATTTTTGTTACAGTGAATTGCCACAGCTATTTTTTAACATTAAATTTCAAATAAAATTTTACGTAGAATTAATTATGTGAATTTTTTTCCCTCAATAATGCGTAATAAATATTTATTAATACTACATGAAAAGCTATTTTTTTAAATTATAGATGATATAATTCAAATTTTTAACTATTTTTTAAAATTTCTCTCTTTCTTCCTTGTTTTAAAAAAATATTTGTAAGAGTAAATTTTTATCTTTAGCGTTTTATCGTCTGCTACTTTAATTTAACTTCTTTTAAATCGAATTGTCTAAAACTGAGAAATTTCGTTTGATGTTTATTTGAATTTTACAAAAATATTTTATGACATTAACTGCATAATTTATTTCTAAACAAGCTGTTGCTTATGAAGTGACTGAAAGAGCGGATGATACTATCATCCTATTTTTTAAAGCACAGTATATTTTTTATAGAAACGTAAGATTTAGAATATCATTTTATAAAAGTCAAACTATGATATAAACATACAACCCTCTAGAGACCGAATAAATGGAAGTTCAATGGTTATGTAGAAATGATCTGCAGCTACTTAATGGCTGGATAAGTTAGCAGGTTCTGTGGACAAGTAAGAATAATTATATAAACGACACCCAATTCTGGATTCAATTAACAATGAGAGTAGGATGTTTATTAAATGAATTTAAGAAGTTTTTAAACATTAAAAAAATCATCTCAGTTTTTTATCCTAAAATGTATTTTTATGCGTAGCACATTTTCGTTATATCCTTAAAATTCTATTTTAGAATGTAATTGTCAAGAACTGAATTCTAATCATCAGTAATATATGTCTGAATGCAAATATTTCTAATTTTATATTAATCAAGATTGCACACGATATTATTTATTTGCACTTCAATTCTTACCGTCAGCTCTAGTAGAAGTTACAAATCAATTATATTTAATTAAGGAATGACCATCTAAGTTTAGAAACAGCGTACCGTAACAGCAATTCAATTATTGGCACCTATCTTTCGTGTTATTCCCGACTGGCAAGCTACATCGTGCTTAAACTAGGTTAGTTGGTTATTTGAACATAGAAGGAACATGGGGGCTATTTGGTTAAGATGCTTTCATAGAGAACCTTTGTAAAGAGAACCTAGATAACTACGAAAACCAACCATGCAGCCTCGGTTAGACTTCGGAACAAACAATTATAATTTAACAATCTTCAAATGCTAGGCAACTTGTGAGGCTCCAATTAAATCTCCAATTTAATATTTTATTTCTAAATATTTAAAATATTGTTGAATTGTTAGACACAAAAAGCAGAATTTAAGTTTTGTTAACTCGTTAGTAAACTACCAAGCCGTAGTGCAAATAAATATTCAATTGCTTTTGCAATAATTGTATTCACTTAACGTTCTTGGAATATGAGCTAAAGAAGGAACGTTCTCGGAAGATTAAAGAAGTGTTTAAATCCAGTGATATTAGGTTTGTCTTACAAGCTCAGGATCAAAACAATTCTGCAATTGCCCCGAGTAGTAGTGACTTGTAAATGACTGTGAATTAAGCAGATGACTTTTAATCTTACGTTTTCAGTCAGAAAACTTATTCCAAATGTTTTGTTGTATTGCATGACAATGCATCTTTTCATTATTCAATAACCAGTCGGAGAACCGCTTGTGTTCCGAAAATAAGTATGTGTACTCAATCGTCCTGCATGTTCTTCAAATTGTCTTCTTTGTGATTTTTTTTCTTTCCCAAAAAAACTAAAGTTGCCTCTCAAAGGAAAGTTTTTTGACATTGAAGAGACAAAAGGAGTATGACATCTACTTTTAGAGACATGTCAAAAACAGATCTCTACAAGCCTTCTCTTCCATTACATGTTGTCCAGTCAGACAAAAAGTTGCATCAGCGTAAATTTTATAATCTACTTTTATTCCACTCTGATTACTTTATTAACATACAGTGAATATTTGCTTAAACCTTTTATTTTAGCTTCAGTAATTCGAAATTTTTGATGGAATTGTTGTTGGAACTAGGACTTAGAAGATAAGTCAAATTGAATATTTTGGATAATCCAATAAATTCAAGGTCGAAGTTTCAATATTTTATTTTCGGAGGGAGGGGACATGTTTTCAGTTTTGGTCCATTATCCTAAGTATATTTGCTTCGATTCTTTATTTTTTCCATAAAAGCGAAAAAAAAAAAAAAAAAAAATAAGCACGATTCTGCGCTAGAAAGCCCTGAAACGAAATTGGTAACCTACAAGGTGGTTATAATTAAAATTCCATTTTGAAATGGTCATGAAAGGAAAACTACCGGACCAAACGTTATCAAACTTGGTAATCGTGTAGAAGAGGTCATTGAAATTTATTTTCCGCTAAAAAAGTTCAAAATCTCACCACCAGGGCAAGAAATGGCGCTACATGCAATATTGTTAAAAGAAATATGGGTCGGAATCTAACTTAACTTTTTGTTACACAGGTTTAATATGTTGTATACCCTTAAGAAACTTTGAAGTAAGCAAATTACCATTTAAATGTGTTAAATTCGATAAAGTCTAGTGTACCATCCATTTAAGGGAGAAATTCGTTCGTGAAAACCACGAATTAGCGATTAGAAAATGTGAGATCGCAAATCACTCGCACAAGTGCGTACAATCTGGAAATCGTTTTCTTACAGATCGCTAATTTGTAATTTTTGAAGCCTGAATTCGACCCTAAAACGTGAAGATACTGATTGAAAATGCAGCTAGTTTCATAACTGAACCATTTTTCTCTGAATAGCAGTCGACAACTGGACTACTGTGATTGCAGCTCGCTTAGAGTCAATGTTAAAATGTTTCGTGATACATGAACTGCAGTAACGTAGCATTTTAGATACTATGATTTTTATGCAGGGCTTGGCCCCACCACACAGTTACTTAGGAAACATTTCACGAATGAATGTCTTATAGGCCAACACTTGCCCTCTTCCCACCAGACCTCAAACCTCTGTGACTGTTAGCTATGAGGTTATCTCAAAAGCACTGTTTATGGTGATAATCTAAACAATTTGGCAGAAATGAAAAATGTGATACACTCACATTCCGTAACATTCCTCCTGATATGCTAAGAGCTGCTGTTGAGATAATTTAATTTGCTTTCAGAAAATACTGGACGTTACATTGAACATGCTTCGTAACACGTTTCGGAAACGATTAAACACATTTTAAACCGATGTTATATGTCATATTTCATTTAACAATATCGCATACAACACCATTTTCCCCCTGGTGGTGAGTTTTTTAACATTTTTTCCCCCCCTCCGAGGAAAATAAATTCCCATAACCTCCTTTACACGATTGCCAAGTGTGATAACATCTGGTCTGGTAGTTTTCCTTTTATGACCGCGAACGGGCTGGCTGTATGGGTGTTTTCGTGGTTTTCCCCATGTGTAACGTGTATACAAGCTAGTTTCCCTTCGAATGTCCTCCATGAAGGCATCCCTCCCCTTAGGCAGATAGCCCTAGCATGCTTTGCCATAATTAAATGAACCAATGCCAACACCTTTTATGACCAATTTAAAATGGAACTTTAATTATAACTACCATGTAAATTAAACTTTGAAACACAATTCATGTAATTGATATTTTAAAAAAATTGACAAGAATGCAAAATTTATGGAAGTCTAGCAATCGACAAATTTTAATTTTCTTGTGTGAGCACTGAAAATAACTGTAGAAGGAAAGAAAAAAAAATAGGGAGAAAAGTAAGCAAAAATTTGTAGGGAAATTTGGCTGTCAGACATACCAAGATGTTTCAAAAAGTTGGACGCTTTTGAATATACTTTCAGGATACTTCAAAGAATTTAGGCATTCAAAGAGAAAACACTTGGATGTGTGCACCAGCAAATACCATCAATTGAGCTTGTGTTAGCAGAAAAGACAAAAACGATATTGCAGATTAAAGTGAAGAGCGACTGGATTTAGACCATATGGTTGTATAAATTTAAATTACGTTATAGAACATCATATCGTATCATAAACAGAGAATCTCATGATTTCTGAATCGAATTATTTGAAGATTCAGGAGTTTATCCAATGATGTATGTGGATGTCACCTAAAGACGTTTTTTTTCCCCTTCTGATGAAACAGCGGCCAGGCGGTAAAGTCGCTGAAGACAGTTTCCCTTAGAAAGTCCTCCACGAAAGCATCCCTTCCCTTAGGCAGATAGCCCTAGTGTGCTTTGTCATAATTAAATAAACCAAAACCTCTTGATGAAACCAGTCTTTCCTTTTATCTCATACCTTCAGAATGCTTAGCTTCTAAAGACTGATAAAGACTCTGATGAAATGGATTGAACTGGATTATTAAGTTACGTCAAAGCAGGGCTATCTGCCTAAAAGGAAGGATGCCTTCGTGAAGAAATTTCTAAGGGAAACCAGCTGGCATACATGTTACACATGAGAAAATCCACGAAAACGCCCATGCAACCAGCCCGTTTACCCAGATTCAAACCCCAGAGTGAACTACCAGTGTTCAACGACTTTACCGCTCGGCCGTTTGTGGACCTTTATGAAATAGAAGGTAAGTACGCTAATTTTATTTAAAATGATTGTCAGAAATACCAAGGTGTTTCGAAAAGTTGGATGCTTTTTAATATAATTGCAGAATGCCTGAAGAAAAAGAGAAGGAAAAATAAATTTTTGCGTAAAATTTAGTATTTCTACTTTTTTTTTTAATTTAAAACTTTTTAATCTTATGATATTTGATTCTTACGATTTCAAAAATAAAATATTTGACTAAAAATGAATAACATTTTAAGAAACCAAATGTAGGATAAAATTGTGTAAAGCAATGGGCACAATGATAAAACTGTTTAAAGCAGTGTATATGCAAGTCATTCTAAGTTAAAATGTCGGTTATACATATCTCTTATTTATATATTTCTTTTCTGAATGGAACATTGAAAGGCGTGTTAACTGTGCTTTACTGTAATTTCTCTTTTAATATATGCAGTTTTCAAATGCATCGTAGTCGGGGTTACAAAGAATTCTTCCAAAAGAAACGCAATTCAAATAAATGAAATCAAATTCCGAAAATTTATATTAATAAATATATTTAAAATGCTTAGTTCGAATGAATAAATAGAAAATTTTAAAATAATTATCTGAAGAGACAATGCAACACTAACAATTAAAACAAAAGTCTAAAAATTAAAAAATTACCTAAAATAGTAACTATGACTAAAAATATAATATAAAGAAAACTATTTGAAAAAATAAATAAATAAACGATGCACCTTTGATTTAAACTATGCAGTTCGAATGAGTATATAGAAAATTTAAAACAGTTATTCGAAAGAAACTATGCAACATAAACAATTAAAATAAATTCGAAAAGAAAAAAATTGCTTAAAGTTTATAACAGTTATAATTAAAAATATAATATAAAGAACATTTATTTGAAAAAGGAACGATTGGTGTCTTTTTTCCTCTCACGCACTAATATAAAATGGAAATGAAAATAGGTTGCCACATATTAAGAAGTTCGCCAAGTGAACTAATTTTGGTGCATACTGAATAAAAAGCGCCAACATAAATTGTTGAATTTCTCCGTAAATTTTGCACCAAATTTTACAAAATTTGTTATTAAGGCATAATTTGAGTCGTAGAATCGAAATATGGAAAAAAATTGGTATGTTATTTCAGAAAAAGTCCGGTTTTGTGTAAAAATTCCTATGTTAGTGCTATATATATGTCTAATATATATCCTAAGTCGCGCTTTCGAGACATGAAGAACGCAATTTGATTTTTGTGAATCGGCTCAGTAGAACAGGAGATATAGAACTGTCCCCCCCTTTTTTTTTTTGAGCAGTGTACATTTTATCTCATATATAACTGCAAGGAATCATGCTCGAGGATCCTCAGTATCATTTAGCACACATTCTTGCTCATTGTTCAGAACATTCTCACTCTATTAGCAGAAATCTTTGTGCCAAGAAGCGCATACACATTTTTCAACCATGCAGTTATGCCCTAACATTCATGTCTTCCATTTTTATTCCATTTTGAAAACCTTTCAATTCTTACTGAAAGTAATGATAACTCAAGAACTGGATGAAATCTGAGGATGAGATAGCTGTTACTTCAGTCATGAAGGCATTTTTTAACAGTTCTTTTCGTGGATTAATTTGCTGAATTAAGCTCATGAGCCGAAACCTTACTTTGATAAAATAAACAGATAATTTTTTTTGCCTTCAGCTTGTCAAAATGTAAATTTTAGCCTTATGATTTAAGTCCAGTTCACATCATGGTCTAGAAGTTCAATTTGTTATTTTTAAAACAGTTGTATCTTTGAAACTATCTGTGTTTTTATGCACTGTTTTGGTGAAAATCAGTTACTGGTTATAGTTCGAAGCAATGAGTTATCTGCAGTGCATTTCAGCTGATCCTTCTCTTTTGGTCTAATTTTAGTATTCACTTTTATCTTTAATTTGATAAATTTGACAGACAATAATTAAAAAGTTTTCATTTATTAATTTTTATTCTTTCTGTACTGTATTTTTAAAGCCATAGTTTGAAAAGTCGGATTTCAAAAATTGCAAAATTTCTGATTTAAAATTTTGTTTGATTTTTGGAGCCAAGTTCAGTTTGAGAAGTTATAAAATAAGTCATCTTTCTTTTATAAGAAATGATGCATAACATATCTCAAATCTAACTATTATTTAGAAAGAACTAGAGTTTCGTTTCCTGTAACATGAATAAACTTTGATTTGAAATTTCCTGTGCTTTAATGCATTATCTTGTTTTATTGTAATTTTTAAAACAGAGAAAGAGTATGTTTTATAACTGTCAAATGTAAAATATTTTCTTTAGGATGTAAGGAAGGTTATTTTTTCAACAAACATAGCTGAGACTTCAGTGACAATACCTGGGATTAAGTATGTGATTGATACTGGAATGGTAAAAGAAAAGTATGTGTTTTTGCATGTTTTTGTAAAATAAAATTTTAATTTAAATTTGTAACATTCCTAAAGGTTTGCTTTTCAATTTGGTGTTGTCTTTCTATGCTGAAAAAGTAAAAAGTTTAAAATAAATATTTCTTACGAGTTTCACTCAAAAAATAATCGTATCAACTTAATATGATTAAATTTAAGGTGTGGCATATATGATGAAACTAGAGTTTATACAGTGAAGATGTGTCATTGCCAATTGTATTTATTATAGTTGTGTTTATTATTTTGCAAATTATGTTCGAATTAGCTACCCATGATACTGGATCTTCATTGTATCAAATGTATCAGCTTCATCATCTGTGCCATACCCTAAGTTTTTATGTGTGTGTGTATGTATAAATTTGGCTTAATAACTGTCTTTAATTTTGTGAACACATACCTAATGCATTAGTCCAAGCTTTCTGTGCATACAACCTATTTCTACTAGAATAATACTATCAGTTTGTGCACATTCTGTAGAGAAGGATCAGTTGTCTTGTATTCCACAGTTCCTGAATTGATTCACAGTAGGAAGAATTTTAATCAGATGTAGCAAATTTATTCCTCTTATGATTTAATACTTATACAAGCTTTATGGCGAGATACATTATGTTGTTGAAATGATGTTCAGTAAGGATAGCCATCATGCAGATGTGTAAGATGATTATTCTCTTCAAACTGTTGAAAGGAGTTTGCGAAATGATTGCTTTTTGACCTCAGATATGCTGGGAAGATGCTTTCCACACTGCCAGTTTGCTGAATTGTTTTGTTATTAGGAGACTGACTGATGCTATATCTGAACCTGTAAGCTGCAAGAAGTGATATTTTTCTCTCCAAACAATCTTATTTCTACATGTCAAGGATCTATTGCGCCATTCTTTGGTTCAAGTGAAAATCTGCAAATTGCTGATTGTTGATCATTATAGGAAGATTTATTGGTCTTCAGTTATGGAAATTCTAGTGATTCTAGTAATATAGTCTGGACTGTTGCTGTGCTAGTGGATGAATTGTACAATTGTAGTTGCTGAAATACCAGTTATAATTCTTACCATTCAAATTTATGTTTGGTTACATATGGCTGACCCATATGAGCTTTTTTGCTGTACATCTGCTTATGTGAAAACTTCAATTTAACTTACTCATTTAATTTAAAAAAGACATTAATTACATATAGCTCATAATTATGTTTTCATTTATACTGAACTATTTTAATTGCATTTACATATTTCATATTTATATTTTATTACAGTGACAAATTTTTGGTTAAATTTAAATCATGTATATCAGTATGTGTACATGATCATGATTTTAGTATCTGTCTTGCAATTTTCTTTCATTGTAAGCAGAAGAAAAATTTTGTTTATATAATTATAGCGATTGAGTTGAATGATTTCATTGTAAAGGATGCATGCAGATATGAGTCTTAATTTACAGAAAAAAGATCATACATAGTTTTAAAATTTTAATTAATTCTCTTCTTTCTCTACATCTAAATTACTTTATTTATTAATGTAAGCGTAATTTTTTTTGCATCCTTTTATAAAGTAAAAATGTTTTAGAACACTAGAATGACTTTAGAGAACTGAATTAATTGTGTTTTCCTGTGTGATATGTGGAACTTAGTTTGAATAATGTTGGAATTTAATCTTGAAGCACCAAGGTAAGAGTGAGAGGAAAGATCCATTATGTGACATGAATACATGTCACATCATTCATGTTCATGAATACCTGTATGGACTACTTTGGCTGTTTATGAAAGTATGAAGCTGTCTTCACCAAAAAAAGTCCATATCATCTATTGCATTTCCATTACTGTCTACTGTCCGACTTTAACAGTTAAAATAAAATCTCTTCCTGTGAGAAAAATCGTTTTTTTAATCCACATTTTCAGTAGCCTGATGCCTCTATTCTGGTATCTACCATATTATACTACAGGTAAAATAAATATTCATTCCAAAGGTAATGAAATAAAGAAACATAAAAAAAGTGATGGCAAATACTAGGAATGACGTACACATAACTAAAATTAACACCTACACTAAACGGAAATTCAATATAATAGATAATATAATAATTCTGGCCCAGAAAGATGGGCCTTTTTTACATTTTAGAGACATGCTGTTGCTTCTCATTTTGAAGAAATTGGAAAAGGACAGAAATAGTCAATTTTTTGAAAATCGGAAAACAGAAAGCTATATCGAATTTTAACAAAAGTTTCCCGCTATTGCAAATATCATCTGCACAAGCAGTTTGCATTGGCGTGTTTAATCATATTTTGTCAAATGATTTTTTGCCATTTGAAAGAAAGAGACTTGATTTATAACACTGTGTTGTGAAATTTGTAAAAAAATATTCTTATCATTAAGTACAAGGTGTCTGAAATAGAACTATCATGCTAACAAATTAGAAACAGCGTTTACTTCCAGTTCTGTTGCAAAAAGTCAGCTACAGAATGCCACCAAATCATGTGATAGCCTTAGGTACTAATGCTGTATCATATGATACTGTGAAGATTTGGTACAGAAAGCTCAAAAGCAAGGACTATGACTATTAATTTAGAAGTCAAACAATAAAAATCAGCATTATATTCATAGGACTTGTTTCGCCTGTGAAAATTTGCAAATAACTTTGAAATAGTCCTATATAATTTGCAAATATAACACTGCTTTTTGTTGTTTGACTTCTAAATTAATACTTGTTCGGCATGTTATTTTATCTTAATTAAGGACTATGACAGTCCAGAAGCATAGCACTCTGGCCAGCATACTGAATTTGAAGAGGCCTGTCTGCGAAAACCTTTGGAAGAAGATCAGTATGCGACCACTCTAGAGCTTTCTAAGAAGGTAAGATGTTATTACCATGTCCATTAATCATGCTATGCATCACATAAACTTGATGTATAAGTTCAGTCACTGGCTACCGCATGAGCTAACTCAAGCAGATAAGGAGAGACATGCTTGAGCATGCATTAATCTACTTGAATATCAGTGCAAGGACAAAATTCTGGACAGGATTGTCACTTGTGATGAAAAGTGGATTTACTTCAACAACATAGGCCGAAAAAGAGGTATTTCTGCACCTGGTGAACCCATTGGCAGTGTTCCAAAGCCCGATTTGGCTAACAAAAAGATCAGGTTTTGTATCTGGTGGGATTGCTATGGTATTATCCACAAACAGTATCTGGGAAAAGGTAACCCTTGACAGTAAGGTGCACAGCGAGAGGCTAGTCCATGTTGAAATTGCTATCAGGGTGTAGAGTTCCTCACTTTGTAATTTCTAAGTTACTGTCGGAAGTGAAGAATCTTAAGAACTGATAAACGAATAATTGCTTAAGTTCGTGTGACAGGAAACAACAAGGGTAAACTAAACCTTTATTATTCCAACTAAGGTTTAACAAAACTCCGTCTTGGAGTGTACAATAAAGCTGACACTTTGGCTTGAACTTAAAAGACTAAGAATAATACTAAACTAATCTTAACTAAAGAGATATAGCCGAAGCTATCAAGATTCTAACAGAGTTTGCCCCTTAACGTTTATAGACTGCGAAGCTATCAAGAGCCTAAAGTACGACCAAGCGTAATAATAGCTTACGAGAGAGTAGCCAAAAAGGGCGGACGCATGCAGCCAGAATACCTGGTATCTCTCTCACTAAAACTGAAGAACTTTGTAGTTAAATACCGCTCTTCCTCATTATGTATTCAGACATGATTCTAAAACTACATTCTGGCCGGAAGTGGTAAGTTCAAATTAAGAATCAACAGGAAAGGAACTTTAACTCAAAATTTAACTGTTAATAAAATTAGCATATTCCTTACAAGGGAAAAACGTCAAACTGAATTCCGGCAGGAAAAGGTAATTTTTCATCAAGATAATGCAAGACCACATGTGTCTGCATTCACTGGCTGGACTTTGTACAGTCTCGAATGGGATCTTTTGCCACACCCACCATATAGCCCCGACATCGCTCCTTGGGACTTCTTCCTTTTTTCACACATGCAGCTACATCTTGCTGATACTATTTTCCATTCTGTACAGGACATCAGAAATGAGGTTGATCTGTTTTTTTGACTTGTGGCCACCAAGTTTCTGGTCCGAAGGCTTTGAAAAACTACCAAAATGTTGGCAGTAGATTTAGGTGGTGATTACTACCTGCACTAAAGGTACTGCTTTTATTTTTTTTTCTAACTTTATTAAGAATGTTTTTTTGGCAGAAAACTTTCATTACAACCAGATATTATGTCTGACACAGTAGCAAGGGAATCTCAGTTAGTATTGAAATACAAATGTTCTAAAATTTAAGCACATGAAACCTATCTTCTATGGTTAAATTTCTTTTGTTGCACTTATGTCATTCATCTTTATATATAGAGAGAAAGAGAGAACGAAACATGTTTTTCATCACTCCCTAATTAACTTGGTTTATGGCTTCAAAACACTTTTCCCATGACAAGTTCTGTTTGAAGCTAAACTAAGGAGATTAAATTTTTAAAAATTTTGTATTGTTTTGGTTTTAACATGTACAAATTTCCCATTTTTAGTGTAAAGGGAGTATCACTTTTCAAACCATTGCCACCAAATACTATCACCCTATATTATATATGAAGAAATTAAATAATGAAGAATCTGTATAAATATATGTATGTTTCTTGAATTGTGATAAAACAACGGTACCTAGAGCAATCCAATTTTGAATGACATAATCCTACTGCGAATATGGGCATCTGAAAGCCCAAGTTTGAAATTTGGAATTTGTTTTATTATCGATTTCATATCTTGTAACGTTTTAACGAATTTTTGATTAACAAACTCAAGGATTTAAAAGCAAGCAATGGCAACACTTTATGGAGGGGGGGAAGACCTTTTTATCTCCAGTGCGCGGAACTGTGTATCGGAAATTGTAAAGATATGCTTATTTTAAAATTATTTTGTGGCATTGCTGTTGAACTGAATTTTATGGTTTAAATGCAAAGAACATGATATTTAATAAATAAAGGTAACACACAAAACGTTAAAAAAATGCCTTTTAAGATGTAATTTAAATTCTGAAACCTTTCAGATTTTCGCCACCTGTTTGAAGTGAATATTTTTTATAACCATTTTGTAATTTTCTTTAATTTTCATTTTACCAGTTTCTTTGTAACACAGAAAATAAGATTAACCATCAAATATTTAATATAGCATTTTCTTTTCATTCCGATTTTTGAGTATTTGATTTTGTATATACAGTCAAAAGTCTTTAATACGAACTCCTCGGGACTTTGGCGATTCCGGATTATCGGATTTTCTGGATTATAGATCATCAATTTAAATCTGGTAAGATGGCATGCAGAAATTATAAAATTAAAAGTATGAAACCGTAATTTATGAAATAAAGAGCAATTATGATCTAAAGGGTATCAAAATTTGCATAAAATGTTTAATATTTATTTCTTTACTTTATTAAACATTTCTTTCAATGCGCACACGCGTAAAGCACACATTATGCATATTCAAAATTAGAAAATTGCAACCAGAAAATTATTTGATGTGTATTTGTGATATTTATAATGACGAGGAATTTGATTTAAATCATATCAAAGACAGAGTACATGGAGATGAAATACTATATTTAGTAAGGAATTATAAGCTGAATAAAAAAAAATTGCCCTGAAGATAAGGATAGTGCTGACAGATCAACTTCCAATTCATTGCGTGCCGTGCCGTGACCCCCCCCCCCTCCGCTCGCAGAGCAGCGTGAAATTAATAAACATATTTTGGAATGGTTAGAGAAACAAAGGATATTCCTTTATCAATTTTTTGCAGCAATTCCACTTTTTGTGTGATGGACATCGAAAAATGCTTTCGCTTTGTAGATCCTTTGGCAGCTCCAGAATTGGAAATTCTTTTTGACAATCAAAAGTTCAAGCTTACTTTTATAAAATTGCTTTAACAGTCTGTAAAAAATAATAAGCCGGATCCAATTCAAAGATTAAGGAAGAACACAATCTGCAACATTAATTGAAATAGATAATTAGATAATTTTAGTTAGCTTATACCGTCCGTTATACATTAAACGCGCATGCGTAAACGCATTTTGCGTTTACGCATGCACAGAAAGTTTGTAGCTTTGAGGTCCAAATTATAGATCATTTCGGATTATGGATGTCTGGATTAAAGACTTTTGACTGTATATGTATACATACATATATACATACATACATATATATATATATATATATATATATATATATATGAAAATGATTCATTTTTTTCATTTGCGGTTTTGCAGCTGAAGATGATGGTTCGGTAAAACCATCGAAACTAGTCCTGTGAAAATTTTGTAAATATAACGCTGATTTTTGTTGTTTGACTTCTGAATTAGTATAAGCATATTTTTGCAGAATATTCAGAATCAATGTTTTCTTAAATGTGATAAACTTTAAATTTATCTGCAATAATTCTGAATCTTGAGTTAAAAATCATTAGTAATGATTAATGATAAATGAATGAACATGCTTTCTAGAGAATGTATTAAACATTCTACTGTGGAAGTTACTTATTATTATCTTTGAGCTATTGTCTTCTGCTGTAATTCACTAAAATAAGTATTTAGTGCTACTTGTCATCATCTGATCATCTGTAAAGCAGCTGATGCTAAATACTCCTTTATGTACACACATACGTAGTATAAGTATGCATACATATGCATTCTTAAATGATTAAATGATTCTTCAAATTTAAATTTAGGAAATAGATATATGTGTGTGTGTATGTATTTTTTAGATCATATAATTCAAGTGGATTTGACATACTGAGTATTAAGCGGATATCAAAAGCACAGGCTGATCAAAGAACAGGACGAGCTGGTAGAGAAGTAAAGTAAGATCTGTTTTGTAATTGCTTTGTCTTAAATTGAATTTAAATATATCTGAGAGCAGAAATTCTCATTTGATCGGACATAATCATGTATTTAAAATAGACAAATGAGAAATAAGCTTTTGCTGAGAAATTGAAGTACATGAAATACTAATCTATTTTAAATGCCAAAATTGCCTGTTATTATTGAATTAATGATATGTTCTGAACAGGGCTGTATAGTCAGAATCAGAGTTGAGCAGATTTTGGGGTAAAAGGAGTCGGAGTAGAGTTGCTAAAAATAGGTTGACTCAACTCCAATTTTTGTTGGACAGTTTGAATTTGAAATGAAATTAAAATGAATTGACAAAAATTATTGACAAGCTATTATTGTTTTTATTTATAGACTAAATACATTAATAAATAGTTGATCTTCTATTTTATTGATATATTAATAAATAAATATAAGGCAGGAGGATGGATGTGATATTTGTCATTAGTGATTAAACTGATTCATTTAATTACAAATCTCACTGGTAAATTCTTTAAGCAGCAATAGCAGCAAGAACTCCCAAAACTGATCCCATTCTTAGGAAGCGAGCAGGAAAAGGAGCAATTATTGATCAAGCAAGGCGATAAGGAAGTACATATTTGATGATAAAGAGGTTGTTAGAATTCAGAACGTTTTTAGAAGATGTAGATAATCCTAATGTTTCACTAACAGAAAGACTGTGGAATGATCTTGCAGAATTAGAAACTTTTTCTACGCCGTATATAGCCACAAAAAAGCTGCAATCCGAAGAATTGACAGGAGGCGAGAATGGAAAAATGAGATGTTTGTTCTTTCTGAAATGGAGGGTTTATTGCAAAGGAATCATTTCTTCCATGAAGAAAAGAGAAAAGAAACTAGTTTGCTAGACAATGAGATCTTGCTGGGTTCAATATATGTAGATCTGAAAGACCAAATTTTCTTGGATAATGAACAAATTAAAAAGGCAAAGAAAGCCATTTGTGAACTTTCATTAAGAATGAAATTATTCTCCGAATGATTGGAGAATTCAAAGCAGAACAGTCAAACTGCAGACATTGCAATTGAGTCTTTATCATCCTCTTCCAAAGATGAGAATTAGATTTTGAGAAATATTTTTGAATAATATTGAAAAGGCTAAGGCAAAGCAAATGAAAATAAAGAACCAGGAACCTTTAGATATAAAAATGAAAAAATACAAACAAGATTTCTACACAGCCTTTGAAGAACTAGAGAAATAAGATTGCTCTTGCAAGACACCTCTTTTAGAAGTTATAAAAAATCTATTCTGAAAAGTTAAAAGAAGTAGCTGTAACAGTAACAGTTCTTCCTCCTACTCAAGTTAGTGTGGAAAGACGCTTCTCAGCTCTGAAGTTCATCAAATTGGATCTATGGCCCTCCAACAAGGAAGGTCTTGCCAAAGCTATACTATTTCTTAGAAATAACTAATGCCAGTTTTTCCATTTCGTAATAATTGCTAATTAATATAAGTAATCTGCTATGCCATCAGTTTTTTTCCTATAGCATCTATTACTTCTTTTATATTAAAAAAGAATAAGCTGTAACCCATGTGTATATGTTTACATATACTATATATATATATGTGAGGGAGTCGGTCATTTTCCCTACTGACTCCACAGCCCTGGTTCTGAATTTGTTTACCATTTTAATGATTGTTTCTGCTATTCTCTTAAGAAATGAATAAATGGATAATAAGTCAAATAAATAACTGTAACATAATTGACATTTAATTAATTTCCTCTGTGTTGTTTCAAAGATAAAACATACAAAATGCTTACCTTGTTCTCTTCAGTTTCTTTCACATCCACCACTAGGTGATCCTCCTTTTATTACAATCCTTCAAGAGATATTAATGCAATGATCAATTCATTTTTGCACAAAACATGTTTTAATGTGAATGAAAACATAACGTAGAACATCTAAGTAAAAATTTAAAATCCAGCATGATGTAGCTTGCGAGTTTCTCCTTCAATAGTCTCGAGCCATCTGCCTCGCACGTTTGTAGTTCAATATAATGATGTCATACAACAGACATCTTGATTTACAACACCTTATCTTAATTTGAATAATTCAACATTGCATTTAAGTAACTTAGACCTGTCATGAAGATTATATTGCATTTTTATTGAAATGGAAATGCAATGACTAGACATGATTATAATTGTTCTACAGTAAACATACAATTTCAGAATTAAAAATATTCATCATTATTGTGTGTTGCAGTAAACAACTTTTGCTGTAATTGGTAAAGAATCATACAAGTATAATATTTTTTATTATATTTTTTAAACATTTGTTTATATATTGAGCATTTAAATAAATGAACATGTGCCATTTTATTGAAAGCTTAGTGTTCATAAATATATCTTTCTATTGGTTTTAAAATTTTAATTATGCTCTTAAAATTAATTGTCAGATTCTGTTTTTACAGTGCAGCTAAATTTCTCTTAAAAAAAAATGGAGAAAAAATTATTATAGTTAGTAATTTGTTCCGATGTGAAGAAAATATTTCCTGCATTTGACTATATAAGAACAATGTGGCCAAACCCGAATATAACCTAACATGCCTGCCAAAGTTATAGTAAAAAATTATTCATAGTTTATTGTTAAACGATCAAGACAAAATTTTGTGATTTGTAGCTTAATATGGAAATGGCAACTTGTGATAGAGATAATGAGTTGAATCAACCTTCTAACTTGTATTTCCAGGTCTACCCTTTTTCTTCTTTGGGGCTGGAATTGAAAGGTAGGGGAGAAGAGAAGGGGGACATAATAGGGGCATTGGTATCTGAAGGTAGTGTAGGGATGCTAAAGAAGTAATAATCGCAAGAGGAATTATTTTAGGGGACAATGTGCAGCGCTATACACCATAAGAAAGATGCAAAAGGGAAAGAACATCCGGGACCAGTGGAAGGATTGCAGAAGGTGAATAATATTTTATTCGGATTTATTAAAATCATCTAAGCATATTACTTAAAATATAAAAAGAAATGTTATACCCAAATTATACGGTATTTAATAAAAAAACTTAAAAACAAAAATCTAATTACCTTTGGACTAACGTTTGGATTTATGTTTTATTTTATATGTTAAGATTAAGGAAGGATTGACTGCATTATTTTAAAAAATGTAATTTCAAAATTTAAATTCGAGCAGTTAATAAATTTTCATGGTTTCGATGGAAGTTTTTAGAGTTGATACAAGAAAAATTATAATTTCATTTTCCTCAGTGGTCAGAGTTCTCTGATATTGGTAAAAAAGGTAAAAGAATTATAAGTGAGTTTTCATAAATTGCCTAGTTTTAGTTTTTCATAATTGCCTCAGGTTTCTATTGTTTGCCTTTATATTTTCTGAGAACAGTGCATTTCATGTTTGTTTCCACTGCAGGGTAATAATCATTATTTGTTATATACATAAAGTCGATTAATCCGGACTCAGACTTCGCGATTCCGGAGATTATAGGATCACAGTTTTACAATAGGCAGTATGGCATGCAGAAATTCTAAATTAAAAATATGAAACATAATTTATGAATAAAGAACAATTATGATCTAAAGGGTATCAAAATTTACAAAAAAAAAGCTTAATATTTATATGTTTACTTATTAAAATTTCTTTCAATGTAAGTTGTTTCTTTATGTGATAATACTTTCTCTTTTAATTCTATAAACAGACATAATTTTTTGTTCACTTACAAAAGTTCCGCTGTTCAAGTCCCGTTAATTGCTGTGCCAAAAATACCGACTAACTTGTCAATCGAAACTTTTCGTTTTCCTAAACCACTCTGTCACATTCTTCATGTCTTTAATCCATTTTTTGCAGCAATTCCACTTTTTTGTTTGATGGACATCGAAACCATATTTCGTTTGTACGATCCTTTGGAGCTCCAGAATCAAAATTCTATTTGACATAATCGAAGGTTCAAGTTTACTTTTTTAGTATTGCTCTTACAGTCTGCAAAAAATAATTAGCCGGATCCAATTCGAAAATTAAGGAACAACGCAATCATCAACATTAACTGAAATAGATAATTAGATAATTTTAGCTTACACCGTCCGTTATACATAAAACGTGCACGTGAAAACGTATTCTGCGCTTGCGCACGCGCAAATGCGCAGTCATAAGAGGTCTTACACGCGCGCGTAAACGCCTATGCGCATGTGTCAACGCGGAGCATGCGCAGAAAGTTTTTAGCTTTGAGGTCCAGATTATAGATCATTCCGAATTATGGGTGTCCGAATTAATGACTTTTGACTGTATTTGATTAATTGAAGGTATACTCAATAAGAGAAATTATAGATAAAAATATCAAAATCAAATAGATATTCTTTGGAAAAAATCTCCAATTCTCAGGCAACTCTTTTGTTTTACTTTTTCTAAGTTTATAAAAGAAGTAACATTTTTATATTAATTCTGTTAAACAGGTAAGCTTTGCAAGCCTAGACCTTTCAGTCATACAAAACCTGAAATCAATCTAAAAATATTCTTTTCCTGACATTTTAAGAAAAATCTGAAACTGCTTCTTAACACAAATTGTACTTTTTATTGAAGTAATTTTTAATTGAGAAAACATGTGGGGTCCTCTTAGAATATCTGCAATCTCTTGGGGTTCCTTCCCCATATTATGTAATATGTTTATTTAATTATTTTTAAAGTAAATTTATTTATGCTGCTGAGACAATTAGGAAAATTCTTCTAGAATCCAGATTCCGTGTAAATATTGGCAAGGAACAGTTTTTCATTGCCGTTAAAATGCTCTACCAGGTGTCCCGGAAACATCTGAAAGTTATTTTCTCCTCCTTCTCCTAGCCTTCTTTAGGCTAATAATGATTTCAAAACTTTAACTAATATAATCTTGAAAGACCTTTGCTTAAAACTGAAAACTTTGGATAAGTTAAAAATCACAGATAAAGGAAGTTTCATATATTTGAAGGTGGAATATCATCTAAATATGCAGATCCAAAGAGTTAAATTTCAACCTAATGTATCAATAATTAAATGAAAACTGGAGTTCAAAATGTAAAGAAATAACATATTGTACTTGCTGAAACTAATAACTGCAGGTGAACTGATGTATGTATGTTTGCACTTAAGACAACAAGATGCTGATTTTTTAGTACAGGCAAAGTGATCTTGATTTGTCCTGTTAAACAGTAACTTATTTTCTTTAGTGTGGTTTTTAATTAACTTTAAACTTCTTCTGAGTATATGAAAAAAAAAAAAAAAAAAAAAAAAAAGAAAAGAAAAGAAAAGAAAAAAAAAAAAAGAAATGTGATTTATATCTTATTGGAAACGTTTTGTGAATAAACTTAATTGTTTTATTTTCAGGTGTTGTCTTTCCAGTGCTATACTTCAAATGGTTGCAGCAGGAATTAGAAATGTAGCAAAATTTGATTTTATTGATAGACCATCAGATGAGGTAAATAAATAATGCACCTGCAATGTTTTCCTCTTGTCTTCTTTTTTCCTTCTTTTTTTAATCTATAAGTGAATGAAATATTTAGTTATTCCCCTTTGCACACATATAATTATGCAGAATTTTCTTTAAATATTTTTTATTAAAATATATAGGAAAATTACCTTGATTCATTGTATTTCGTGTTTTAGCAAACACAAAATCTAATTTTAGAACTGAATAAAACAATTTTAGTACCTCCCCCCTAACAGTTTTCAAGAAAAACATTTTTTTCCCTTTAAAGGAACTATAACAAAAACAATTCTCGTTATTGAAAATAATGCGCACAAATTATTCATGGTATATAGGGTAAGACATTTTTATTAATATTTTATGATTTAAATATCTTGCCACTAGTTGCCTATCTCTTCAAGTGTTTGTGTCATACATCTGTGCTAAAGCAAAAAGAAAATTTATTGTTGTTATTTAACCTCCTGATCTTGGAACATCTTTTCTACTGAAAGGATAGATTAATTATTATGAAATAGTAATGCTGGGCCAAAAATACATTAATAACGAGAGTTATAGGGAAACCAGTAAAATTTCCACAGGAAGAAAATTGTAACTTCTGTAGGTGTAATCAACTTCCTGTAGGTGTAATCAACTTCCTGTAGGTGTAATAGGATGGAAGGTTTCATAAATGCAGAGATAACAGATATGGATATATTGTATGAAGTAGTTTAGGTGAGCCACAATGTGGCTGTACCAGGAGCTCATCACATTAAGATGTATTCCGAAGCGCTGTATTTTTGCCCAGTTGCATTAGAGATTATATGAAATGGGCTTCTTCGAGAGACCTGCCATGAATTGGGATCAAACCACACAGACCCTTGAAATCAAAGTGATGGTTCAGAAAACATATATCAGTGCATGAACAGTTGTAATTTGGAGCTCATGGTCGTTCAGGCGAGCCGCTGTGCGATTGTTCATTAAATCCTATTTGATAAGGTATATTCCAAACCATCAGGTGTTTGCATGGCTGCATCAGCAATTGTGTTTAATAGGTTCCTTCAAGAGATATGCCATGAATCAAGAACAGATGGCACAGACTTCCGAAATTGAAAGAATAGTACAGAAGACTTGCTGGTATATGAACAATTGCTATTTCTTTTGTTTTTCGTAAACAATTGTCTGGGGGATCCTGAACTCAAATCAGTAACAGCCATACTATGAGCAGCACTAACAGTTGCTGCAGTCTGATGATTACCCACAAGGGTTTGCTTTTGCTCATTGGTAGTTGCAAGAGAGTGGGCAGTTCTCCGTTTTTCATGTACCCTCTTATTCTCAGATGAGGCATACTTTACTAGGGAAGTTTGCCACAGTGCACAGAACTCGCATGAATAAGTGACAGAAAAGATTTAATTTGTGCTTAATTGTAAGATTTAATTTATGCACTCTGCACAAACATTGTGCTTTGCTGATGTGACATTTGGACAACAGAGGTTTGGGCATATTGGTCATGTTCATCTGCCTACAGTATCTCAGGACCTATCCTTTCTGGATATTTTTTTCTGGGGTCATATGAAAGGTCTGGTGTATGACACACCTATGGAAAGGCAGAAGGATCATATAGTACACATCCAGACATTTGCCACAGCTGTCCGAGATATGTTTGAATATTACAAAATGTCTGTGATTTCATAGAGCATTAATGCCAAGCTTGTGTTGCTGATTTTTAGCATGATTTTGTTATTTAATTTGATTTGAATTATTTTAATCTACTGTAAAACTTTTTATGAAATTTCAACCAATATTTCCATTTAATTTTGTTTTGCATTATTATGTGGATTATTGTTCGACCATCTGAAACGCAACCATGGCTGGCATTCTGCCAAAACACATGCACTCGTCCAAAAGGGGCATTATTATATGCTGCAACATGAAAGATCACATGTCTCTTCTTCTCTGGAAAGACAGAATGGAGGGAAAGAAAGTATCCATCCTTCCACCCTATTTTGAGAATAATTCGGTCCAAATGACACATTTGTGTTTGCGCTCATGGTCGCAGATGAGGTGGTTAAAATATACTATGTTTATCCATGCCATAATACTACTAATAGTATTAAAATTAATTTATTATTTTCTTTCCATTGTATTTAAGAGATACAGTAAAAGATAGTTCAGTATACGACCTTCAAAAATACAGCACAGAACTTCCTAGCGTGCCTTTGTGGTGTAGTGGTTCTGCACACTGGGCCGGTCTTCCAGAGGTCCATGGTTCGATTCCTGGCAAAGGCGATTGCTCATTTTTCATCTTTTCTGCATCCAAAAATTACCTAATGTCTCCACAGTATTTTTTAAAATTAAAGCTTTCTGTCCTACTGAGGGTTTTCTCGGTATATTAAATATGCATATATTTTACCTCAGAATCATATTATAATTGCATAAATAACCTAAGTCATACATTATAAAGTAGATTTAAGTCTGTTTGAAATTCTTTTGAAATGGCATCACCACATAGCATGAAAACCTTACAGAAACTCCTAGTTTTGCACATGAGAATCTTCCAATTTTTCGCATTTTAAGGTTGGCAGTTTTCCTTTTTGGCGATTACTGAGTATACTGATTGGAAAAATTTAAACAAGGTAATGAATATATAAGCTCAATTTTTGAATTGTTTTTCAGTGAAAGCTAGATATCATAAACTAATATAATTTTTTATTCTCCATTTTTTATGCTAAGTATTTTTCCCCGAGAAAGTGTTTAAAAAATATTCTGATATTTGTTAGTTTTCTCTGTAAAATTTGCTTTTAGTTTTCTCTGTAAATATTTGCTTTGTGCTTTTGAAGTTGGAAGGTATGTGACAATATGGTTTTCATCCTACTCCATTAAAGTTTTAATGGAAAACATTTAAGATGCAAGTTTCCCCAACTCTCTTCTCCTACTATCAACCTCTTGACGGGACTTTTGGTTCAGTGGTAACTTATGTGCCCCATAATTCAAATTCACTATACATTTGTAAACTTTCATGTGATCTTTGGAATACAACATTAAACAAGGTAATGAATATATAAGCTCAATTTTTTAATTGTTTTTCAGTGAAAGCTAGATATCATAAACTAATATAATTTTTTATTCTCCATTTTTTATGCTAAGTATTTTTCCCCGAGAAAGTGTTTAAAAAATATTCTGATTTTTGTTAGTTTTCTCTGTAAATATTTGCTTTGTGCTTTTGAAGTTGGAAGGCATGTGACAATATGGTTTTCATCCTACTCCATTAAAGTTTTGATGGTTAAGATGCAAGGTTCCCCAACCTCTCTTCTCCTACTATCAACCTCTTGATGGGACTTTTGGTTCAGTGGTAACTTATGTGCCCCAGAGTTCAAATTCACTATACATTTGTAAACTTTCATGCGATCTTTGGAATACAAACCACGGCTAAATGATGTAGTGGCTGGCATCACTTATCACCATTTTGATTGGTTAAAAACAAAAAGTAGCAGCTGGAATTTTCATAATTAAACTACACGTTTAATTTCACATATAATTAAACTTGTAATACGAGGGCTATCCAGAAAGTAGATTACGTTTTGGAATAAAAAAATAAACAAAGTATAGAAAACAAATTTTATTATATACAGATGAAGCCACACTCAAATACTACTTTTCTACATAGTCACCATACAATTAAGGCATTTATCGTAGCGATTACGGCTTGGAAATTCCTTCGTCGAAAAATTCGCCGCCGCGCCTTCAAACCACTTCGTTACCTCTCTTGCGCTGTGCGTCAGGTTTTTGGGGAGAACTTGTGTGCCCCCTGCATGATTGCAATTTCGTTTCACAGTTCACATGTTTCACCCATGTTTCATCACCAGTAACGATGCGATCGAGTAAAGAGTCACCATCCTTATGGTAAGCGTCCAAAAAGTTCAACGCTGCAGCCATTCGCTGATTTTTGTGGTCCTCTGTCAAGATTTTTGGAATCCATCTTGCACAAAACTTGTGGTAAACCAAGCTTTTCGCTGATGATTTCGTGCAACAAACTTCGCGAAATTTGTGGGAAAACTCAAAGAAAGTTCCGTTATTGTGAAATTTCGATTTTCACGGACTTTAGCATCGACTTTTTCGAGAAGTTCGGCGGTCACTATGCTGGGTCTCCCACTTCGATCTTCGTCGTGAACATTGGTTCGGCCATTTTGAAATCTTATGACCCACTGACGCACTCCACCTTCAGTGATAATGTTGTCCCATACACTTCACGAAGCTGCCGATAGATTTCTATCGGTTTACAGTTTTTTGCAGTCAGAAACCTTATTACTGAGCGCACCTCGCAGCTCGTGGGATTTTCAATTAACGCAGACATTTCAAACCGTCACAGTATCTGAACGGAGCACAGCACGAACCTCTCACTAGCACGGCTAAATGCAGACTGAGCTGCGCAACGCTCTGACCCCAAGATGGCCGTGCTAGCCCCGCCCCTAGCGGACACAGACGGAAACGTAATCTACTTCCTGGATGGCCCTCGTATTTTATTTTTGGAGGTCAAATGGAACTACCTTCTTTGGTAGCAAATGAAAGGAAAGTGGAGGAAAGAAATTTCTTCTCACATGCATTTTCCCCCATATTTTCAAAATTAAAAGCTTTACTAGTATGAGTTCCTACAGGGCACATTAATTAGCATTAGACACTGCTGCCAACTTTTCTGGGTTAACCAGACCATTTGCAATTTATCCTCACATCTCCCAATTTTCTGGTAGGTCACTGAATCTTCCAATTTGCAATTTTTAGCATTTCATCAGGAAAATTACTCCAGTAAATGTTTCCCAAAAATAAATGGAACTTATTGAATTAATGAAACTTAAATTCTGCAAGTTCTATTTCTCCACCCTTTGTGATTTTGAGCATTATTTTTCTTATTAAAATTTATTTTATCTGAATTGTCGTGATCTACTGTAGATATTCATAGAATTTTTTATGAAGCTTCAGCTCAAGTTTAGTTGGAGTCTACCAACAGCTGATCATTTGCCAATTCAAACTATCACTTGTGACAATTCTGTTGATGGTGATTTCCCAGTTGTGTGTTATACAGATGGTAGTAAAATTTAATAATTGAGTTGCGTTAGTTTATGTTGTTTTCCATCATGGTTCTGAATTGGAATACAAACTCTTTAGAATTCCCAATGAATGCAGTGTTTTCCAAGCCGAATTACTGTATATTAGTGAGTCAATTAAGTGGATATCTAACAACTGTTCATTAAGTGCTAAATTTCTGAATTGCACTGATTCTGTTTCATCCTTATATTCTGTAAATTAATTGTCTCTTCTCATGTCATTCTTAAAGACCTTAATAATAAAAATGTTGATGCCATCTTTTCCCATGTATGTGGCCTCACTGGCAATCTAGGAAATGAAAGGGCTGATTGGTTGGCAAAACAAGCTATAGATCTTCAAGTTAATACTCCAATGATACTGCCTAAGTCATTCTTAAAAAAAAGTAGGGATAAAAGAGCACTCAAGTGGATTGAATTATACAGAAATTCTACTACTGTCTCTTTGACTAAGTTATTTTTTCCTTCCGTTCCTCACAGACTTTTTCTGTGGTTTTAAAATTAGTAAATTTCTAACTGGGCATGATAATTTCAACTCCTATCTGAAGAGATTTGGGTTAACTAAACAGATTTGTGTTCCTGCTGGTTTGGGGGACTGCAAAATGGTGAATATTTGTTGTTCTATTATTCAAAGCTTATGGAAGGATGAAAAGAAACTCATTTCTAAGTTAAACTCTGTGAGCATTACATTTCCCCCCCCCCCTGTTCATTTATTTGTTCAAGATAAAATGACATCCAAGTAAGAGTAGCTGAGTAAAACTGCGATATGCAAATTACTGGTGCTGATTTCGGAATACGTCATCTGCAAGGAACATAAAAGTCCATGTTTGAAAGCAAGCCCACATATTTCACTGAACGTGACATCAGAAATCTGAGATAGCCAATTCGTAACAATGACCTCCAACATCACTTGCCTGCAGAACTGCAATGGAGAGCCATTGGGAGACTAGAGGCAGGACAAAGTCAAACAGAAGTGGCCAGATGGCTAAATGTGAGTCCTGTGGTTCATAGACTTTGGAGGCAATTTCAAACCACAGATTCGGCATCTAGGAGGTTCAGCCAAGGACGGCCAACTGCTACGGCGAGTGCTGATGACCAATATTTGACATTATGTGCACGCAGAAATAGAACGACTACTCAGACTCTTCTTAGATCCTCCCTTGCTGCAGCCACCGGAAGGTTCGTGTCAACTTCAACTGTGCGTAGAAGGCGGTCTGTATGCGAGGCGACTAGCCATTTTTGTGCCGCTCACATCACGCCATAGGAGGGACCGTTTTCAGTGGGCACAACATATCCACTGTGTGCCTGATTAATGGAAGGCGGTTCTCTTTGCGGATGAGTCCAGGTTTAGTCTAGAAAGCAGTAGTATGCATTATTTGATATGGAGAGAACTTAGAAAATTTACTAAATGAGAAATTTGTAATGCCATTATAGAGCTTATAGTGCTATCGAAATGTATACATTGCTTCGAACAGTGTGATTTAGTGCCAATAATGGATAAACATGAAATCGCATCACAATCAAAAGAAGTTTGTTTTGGTTTAATGTAGATTCAATTAATTCTTGATAAGCCTGTTTAATTTTTGAAAAGTAGGATGTAATTATACTTTTTCCTTGCTTTTAAAAAAATATTAATATTCATGACTGCATGCAGTGTTTTCAATATTACAAGATCTGAGCACCATTGAGTAATTTAAAGTTTTTAATATTCTATATCTGTGACATATCTTTAATATGCTATATCTCTTTAAAATGGTTTAAGTTTTTAATATGGTATATCTGTAATTTGTGTCTGTTTATTATTAGCTAAATAAAGAACAATATGTTCATTTAAATTTCTGCAAGAATGATTGGCAACATCTCCATTAATTTTAATTTTTGGCAGGATTTCATAATAAGCCTATGAAATAATGGGTGGATCAAGCCTATGAAATACATCAAGACTGAATTTTTTTTTTTTTGGCTCAAAATCTTAATTTTAGGTATAGGCTTTTGATATTTGAGTGATAACAAATGAGATGATTGTTTTATAATTTTAGAGTAGAAATTTTTCCCACTAGCTTGGGTTTTCTAATGTGAATTTCATTTTTTATATGCTCAGCTATATGGAATTTTCTCAGATCTCTAATTCCCGAGCTTTTACTGTAGCATGCCTTCCGAGTTTAAGTTCTGAATTAGATAATCTTTTTCTCTAACACTGTTCTTCATTTGCCTATGTGTTTACTTTTTCAATGAGTACTGCTGAAAGAGTTTTCATATTATTATTATATATTTAGTGTATGTATTTATTATTATATATATATTTGATATTTCTTCTGATTTTGTGGCACTAATTTCTTTATGCCCTTGAGAAAATACATGTCATTTAGCCTTTATGCCACATGCCTTTTATGCCATGTGCAACTCAAAAATCTCTGCTGTTAGTGCAAAGTGCGTGATTTGCAGAAAATTTAGATGCTTTAAAGCATCAAAATTCTGCAAAATATGATCTATAAATTTCTGACTTGATAGTTTTAGCCTCTTATGCTGAGGCAGCATAATTCACAACCTGCTTTTGCTAGTTTTAGTATTGCTAACTGCTGTATTAAATGGCTGTCTCCATTAGTTAATACGAGTATTATAATAATTGTTCTGCTTCACAGAATATTGCAGCTGCTATCAAACAACTGAAACTTCTTGAAGCAATAGTTGAAAATGATGGAATATTAGAAGTGAGTACTTTAATATCATAATTGAATAAGGATAAATATTCTTTATTAAAAAGAAACAATAAGCTGCTTATAACATACTGTTTTCAATCCACTATGACTTTAATAATAATTTTTCATATTTGCTTACTAATTTTTAAAGTAAATTCTAAACCTAAAAATTTAACAGAGTTGCCAACTCTCCCGATTTAGGCGGGAGACTCCCGATTTTCGACCGCTCCCGCCAACCCGATTTACAATATATTTCTCCCGACTTTTTCTTATTCTTAATATTTCTCACGATTTTTATGCAACTTGGCTTAATACGTTGTTATATGAATAAAAAAAAGTGCTTTTGGACGTCTGAAAGCAATTGAATTTTTCTCTACATTATATCTAAAACAAAACCTTGCAAATCAGATAGCTTCTGCTTTGTGAGTGAGAGCATTATACGTATCCAGAAACGTCATTCTCCAGTTCTCCAATAGGCTTCGAGCTCCACTGCGTGTCAGCTGGCATATATTAGCCAATGAGGACAAAGCAAGTTGTTATTTGGACGTTCTTTTTAGTTATTTCGTTCATTTTGTCCTGAGTTGTGTGAGTACACGTGGCTTAGGGAAATAGTTTTAGAAATTATCATCTTTTGTTACGTCTGCGAGAAAGGTGAAATACTCGTGCACGTTTCAAAAATCGTACACAGTTGACTTTCCTTCCATTATTTCCTCAAGGAAATGTAATAAATTTGCGATGTGTACCGCCTGTCGTTGCGATTTTTCGATTTCGTATGTTGGAAGGGCAGATGTCTCAAACATGTGCGTACACAAAAACACAAGGATAACATGAGTTGTTTTGAAAAAAACGAAAAATTAAATTTTTCTTCGGAAACAAAGGACCAAAAAGTTATTAATGCAGAATGTCTGTTCTCTGCCTTTTTACTGGAGCACAACCTGCTACTGAATGCATCGGATCACGCTGCAGCTTTATTTAGAAAAATGTTTCCCGATAGTGAAATCGCCAAGAAATACTCAAGGTGCAAGAATCAAAATAGGTGCAATTATTAAAGAAATGGGTTTGAAAAATAAATCTTCAGTTATTGATTGCATTAAAACAGCTCCGGTCTGCCTCTCTACTGATGGAAGCAATAATACCAATTCAAAACTGTATCCAATTGTTGTTTCTTTTTTTTGATCCAGAGTCTTCAGAAATTGAGTGCAGTTTACCCACTTTATAAGACATTTGATAGGCTTTAATATAGCACAGCTAATTATTAAAACTTTAAAAGAAAACTGCAGGCACTCTGGATAATTGCTTAGCACTTGGTGCCGATAATGCAGCAGTATTGGTAGGCTTGGAAGGCTGGTGTTGCAGGCATCTTAAGAAAGGAAAATTCAGATTATGAGGTGCACCTGTCACCTTAAATTTAGCAGCTGAAAAAGGGGCAACTTCTTTACCAATAAATGTGGATGAACACATTGTTGATATTTATTATTATCTTGAAAGGAGTTCTAAAAGGAAGGAAAAATTAAAACAGTTCCAACAGCTGCATAACAGCAGTTTACAATTAGAAAACTTGGATGAAGTTATAAAATCAGCTACGATTGACACCCAGTGGAGTTTAATTGCAAAACTGAAAGGTGCTGATGGAATTTTACAATATAGTGAACTATCTAGAATTGTGTTGGTCATCTTGACAGTTCCCTATAGTAATGCAGAGTGTGAGAGGATCCTCAGTGTTGTTGCGAAAACGAGGACTAAATTTAGATCTAATATTAGAGATGGCACATTAGAAAAACTTTTATCAGCGAAAGCAGGCCTACGTGGCAATTGCTGTGAACACAATGATAAAGTTTCTTTCTTAAAGAAAGCAAAATCTGCCACTGTTTATAACATTTGTATGAAAACTGATTAAAGAGTCTTTTTTTTTTTTTTTTTTCTTAAACAATGCGTGTAGTAAAAATTTTTTTATGTTTAAGGTATTTTTGTGTTGCTTGCATTTAAGAATTAGTTACTACTTAAAGTTCATTCATTATTAAAAACTATATTTTTATCATTTAAAAAGTCTTTTTAACATTGTGAAAAATCTCCTGATTTCTTAAAAAAATCTCCTGATTTTTGAGTGTCATAGGTTGGCAAGTATGATTTAATTTTGAAAACCCTTAGTTATATGATTTCCATTAAATTATTGATTTCTTAATTTTTCTTTTTTAAGTTGACTGACTGTGGGAGGAAAATGGTTACCTTTCCCTTAGATCCTAGGTTTTCTAAAATGATTTTAACTTCTAAAACATACAAGTGCACGTAAGTATTATAATGTTTTTGTATCTATTTATACAGATTTTTTTTCCCACTTCTAAAAAGTAATATCTAAATCTTAGTATTAATTTTCCTAGTACATTATTGTATAAGGATGAAATGATTAGCATTTCAGGTTGTTCTTAGAAACGCAGAACATGTAGAAATCAGTATCCTAAGAATCCATCTATGCAACAATAGCAGCTGTTATATTGCTAGGCATGGATTTGAACAGAATTTGGAAAGCCATTTGGATATTGCTGGCAGTACGGGCTAGAGTTTGTGTGTCATGCTGACTGGCAGCAGGTGTTGAGCCACCCTGTTTGCTACCATTAACCAGACATTTTCAGTTGTTGAGAGATCTGGAGACTATGCTGGTCAAGTTAGGAATTGAATAACCTATATATTGGAAAGTTTGGTTGATCACTATTGTGGTTAGCAACACTGTCTGGCATACTGATAGGCCAGGGTTTGAATCCCGTAGAAGGCATGGATGTTTGTAAGTATATAGGTTCTGTGGCGCATGGAGGTGCTCAAAATACAGCTGACCCAAAAGTTCTTTGAAGTGATCTGTTAGTAGGAAAAGAGGGGGAGACCCTCAGACCACTAGGATATTCTCCATCAAAGTGGAGCTGGACAGTTAGTAAAGTAGGATTATACCTGTACGATCAATAGCAGAATTCTGATTTTCCTACAATTTGTACCTAGATGTGTATATTGGGAAACTAGATAATGTGGTTATCTTCTTGAAAATGAGGTGATGAGCTCCCCAAAGATGTGTTACAGCCATGGACACTAAATTGACAGTAATATAAGAGTGGTTGGTCAAAATATCAATTCTGCAAACTTGAATTGAATGGAATAAATAGTTGAATGGAATCACACTTTATGCTAACAATCTGGGAGCTGAGCTTTCATGAGAGTAAAGAATGCAAGCTTCCAATGTTTGTTTTTCTCTGAACTTCCAACGTGTGGACATGCCCATCATAATTCTGTATGTGAACATGATATCGCTGAGAAAAAAAGACTTCACACCATTTACACATCATCGACACCGCTATAGCCAATTATTCTTGTGATTTAGCATCAAGGGAACTCAAAGCAATGATTACCTTACTGTCAATGTGTGGCACTGCAGACATTGTCATGTGCATACCTGCAGATACTGCTGTGTAGCAAAATACCTAACCTAGAATACATAATGTAGCCATACAGACCTTAACAGCAGTTCAGATAAAATGTCTCTATTTAGGCATTATTGAGTGGGGACTGTTGAAATCCCACCTGTAGCTGTAGTTTTGTATGGCCCCTTTCAACCTACTTACTGTAAATTCTCCTGGTAGTCAATGGATCTTGACCAATGAAAGAAGCAGCTGTGCTGTACAATAACTTGCTGTTCTTGTGTGAGTTACTTCTTGCATGAGGGATAACACTTCTTTCCATGCTATAAAACAAGGATTATATGCAATTTAAGAATGAAAATATGCATTATTATTATTATTATTATTATTGCTTTTAGGTATCATTATTTTCAGCTGCTGGATATGTATGCTGTGAAATGATAATCATTTGCATATCCCATCATATTCTATATTTCATGCAAATTTCAGTTTGTTGCACACTTACTTCCATTATTGTATAGCAGTTTTAATCAGTGTCAATTTAGAATTTTTGTTGTAATCATATATTAGTATCTGGCATTTAAATAAATTTTAAAACTTTTTTCTAATATATTTTTTATGTATAAAATGAACATGAATTTAAATTTTGTATTTAAAAATATTATTAAAATTTCTGTGAAACTCACTGCTTTATAACAATGTTGCTGTTGTCTGATTTTGTTTTACCATTATTATAATCTAAAGTATTTGATGTTAATTGAAGTATTTATTTCATATAGATTCAGTCATTTACCTTTGGACACATATTATGTTTTTAATTATTTTGTATTACATAAAGTGAAATTTTATTTCTTTTTGCATAAAGTATTTTTTTCCTCCTAGGGATGAAATTTTAACCATAATATCTCTACTGTCTGTCGATTCCATATTCTATGCATCATTAGCTCAGGTTAGAGGCTTTTTATTTAGTAGCTATTGAAAAGTTATTCACTATTTAGATTAATGTCGTAAGAGAAGGTGTGATTAATTTGTAACCTGAAGCATATTTTAATGGTTTAGTAGCTGCTATATAGTGTAGCGATTTGAGAACAGTCAGATTTTTATTTTGGGTAGCGTAAATAAAATAAAGGTAAGTGTTAAATTACACAAGTTGAATTTTAAGGTAAGTTCAACTGCTTATCATAACAAAGTAGTTTGCTTAGCAAAATAGTCCGTTTACAATAGGAAACGATAATCACTTGAGTTCAAACAAAGTCCAAACAGAGGTAGCGGAGAAAAAGTCCGGCTACGCTTCTTTGAGAGTTTCTTTTTCCGCTCTTGACAGAGCTTAGTAGCGACTCGGGACGAGCCGTAAAATACAAGAGAAAGGCTCTCTCTTCTCTACGCAACGACTGCGTATTCTTCAGACTAAAAAATCTCTCTAATTATTTTCACTCACTGTTTTTATGTCCAGGTTTTCTGGGCGTGTCTTGTGCGTCTGCTGCAGTGATTCGCTAAACGTCTTTTTCGGAGCATCTCTCCATTGGTTAACAGGCGCTGATTTGTTCTCAGATACTGTCTTGACAGCCTGAGAAACTGAAATTTTCCGTGGGAAAATTCAGAACGTCTTTTTGGGAGGTCTATCTAAATTATTTCGAGAAACAGGCAGTTGGCGACAGTCTATCGCATACACACAATGGACACTCCACAACCCGTGAGAACTTGTATGAAAGTTTTCTCCTTTCGTAAAAACAATATGCTTTCCGCACTTTGTTGGGGGTCACGTTCGACCTCAAGAATTCGTAAGTGTCATCAGGGTGGTCATCTGGCGCCCATTTGAAGTCTCCTTTTCCCAGACTTCGTGGGAGTCCGTGGGAAAATAGCTGACGACGTTACAGCTATAGATTCCTTCCCCCTTCGGAAGAACTTTTCTCGAGTTGAAACGAAGAGGAAAGTTCTCCTCATCATTTCACTAATTTAAAAAATGACACGAAATAAACTGTTCTCTCGATAACACTTTCAAACACACCTTTACAGGAACACAGCTACATTGATTAATAACAGTACTAGTAATGTCACTATTGAAAAGTTCACATATAAGTCAATAAGGCATTAACTTTAGAGGCGAGAATTAATAGGAATATTTAAAATCAGAATCACACACACATATATATATATACATACACATCACACAAATATTCTTAACAAAGGGACAAAATAACTGATGATATATTCTTATATTACACTTTTACTGTATACAAAATACTTATTCAGATAAGAAACTGGCATGATCACCTCTTTACACTCTATGTTTCGCCCGATTCGAAACGACTCAGCCCATCAGCATTTTTATTCAATTTGCCTGGGCGGTAAACTACCTCAAAGTTATAAGGTTGCAACACTAGAGACCACCTCATTAATCTCGGGTTTGAACTTGCGTTTTTGTTTAGCCACACCAGGGGGTTATGATCTGTTTCGATTTTGAACCTTTGCCCATCTAAATAATGATGCAATTTTTTTATGGCAAAAATGATACTCGCGCACTCCTTTTCCGTAGTGCTGTAGTTTTTGTTCTGCCTTTGAGAACTTTTTACTTAAATATAAAATCGGATGCTCCTTGTTGAGATCATCCCGTTGCGAAAGAACGACTCCCATTCCAACATCGGAGGAGTCTGTTTGTACAATGAATTCCTTTGTATAGTCAGGTGCGAATAACACAGGTTTTTCGGTTAATAGCCTTTTTAACTCCCGGAAGGCTAGCTCGCATTCTTCAGTCCAGTCTATAGCTCCTTTCTTAGATTTCCCCTTCAGTGAGTTTGTGAGGGGTGCAGCTATTATAGAGTACTTGGGGATGTAGTGTCCGTAATATCCTGTTAAACCAAGGAACGCTCTGACTTGAGTCTTTGTTGTGGGTTGAGGAAACTGCAGAATCGCTTCTGTTTTCACTTCCGTAGGCGTTCGGAAACCGTTTCCTACCACATGCCCTAAGTATTTTACATGATTTTGTGCAAACTTGCATTTTGACGATTTAATTTTAAGATTTGCGTGCAATATTCGTAGTAGCACTTGGCCTAAGTGCTTTAAATGCTCACTCCAGTCATTTGAAAATATGGCGATGTCATCTAGATAGGGAATTGCGTATGTTTCGCATCCCTGAAGTATTTGTGCCATTAATTTGCTGAAGAAATACGGAGCGTTTTTAAGCCCGAAGGGCATTCTTAGCGGACGGTAAGTGCCAAAGGAAGTTACAAACGCGGCAAGACGCTGGGCCTTGGGGCTGAGCGGAATCTGCCAATAACCCTTTGCTAAATCTAATATAGTAATATATTTAGCCGAAGCTACCGTCTCGACCCTTTCTTCAATATTCGGTAACGGGAAAAATTCGGTCCTAATTACTTGATTCAGACGTCTGTAATCAATACAAGGCCGGGGGTCTTTGTTCGGAGCCTCCACCAAAATCATAGGAGAGGTGTAATCCGATTCGCCGATTTCGATTATTTTCATATCCAGCATTCTCCGGATTTCTGACTTTAAAATATCATTTCTCCTAGGTGATGTGCGGTATGGCTTCGATCTCACGGGCTGATTATTGATTAATTCAATGTCGTGAACTACTAAATCGGTTATCCCAGGTTCGTTAGAGAACACTGACATGTATGTATTTAGCAAAGTCTGCAACTGAGCTATCTGTTCAGAACTCAACCTTTCTTCTAGTTTACTCTCCCGAGTTATATCTTCAAAGTCGTACACATTTGGATCAGCAGTGAAGTATGGAATATCAACTTCCGGTTCTAAACCTTTATCATCAACCTCTTGCAATAGTAGATTAATTGTCTCCGGCCGCTGATGGTACGGCTTCAGCATATTAACATGATATATCTGAGAACGCTCTTTTTTTCCCGGTAATTTCACTACGTAATTAGTCTCTGAGAGTTGACTCTCAATAATACCAGGGCCGAACCATTGAACTGATAATCGATTTGCTTTCGAGGGGGCAACGACTAACACACAGTCCCCTTCTTTAAATTGTCTCTTAACTGCTTTCTTATCATACCAGAGTTTACGTTTTCCCTGCAACTCTCCTAACCTTTCAAAAGCTAGATCTTGGCACCTTTTCAGTCTATTTATTAACGAGAGAACATAATCCGTAACAGTGACATTCTCCTCTTGGGGCTCAACCCAGTGTTCATACAATAGTGTTTCTGGGGTCCTTAGGTTCTTACCATGGACTAATTCGGCGGGACTAAATCCCATACTTTCGTGTGTAACCGTACGCAATGCTAGCAGAACAGATGGGAGATGTTTCTCCCACTCCGATCCGGCCTCTAAACACAGCACTCGCAAGAGTCTCTTGATTGTGCGGTGAAGTCTCTCTACGGGGTTCGACTGCGGGTGATAAACAGAGCTGTGAGTCACTTTGATACCAAATTTTGTGAAAAACTCGGTTGTTAGGTTGCTCGTGAAGGAAGTTCCCTGATCACATTGGACCTCTTTGGGATACCCCATTCTGCTAAAAATTTTCATCAACGCGTCCGTTACCGTCACGGAACTGATATCTGCAACGGGGACTGCATCAGGATATTTGGAGGACATACAGATGGCAGTTATGATATATTTATTTCCGTTCGGAGTGACTGGTAGGGGTCCGCAAGCATCGATATTGATTTTAGAAAAAATCTCAGTTATAATGGGTACTAATTTCATAGGTGCCTTTTTCTTTTCTCCGGGTTTTCCCACCTTTTGACACGGGTCACACGTGCGAACATGCTCTTCTATCTCTTTAAAGCAACCTGGCCAATAAAAATACCTTAAAAGTTTATCTTTCGTTTTCGTAACCCCTAAATGTGCTGCAGCCGTTCCTTCATGGCACAAAACCTTTACCTTTTCCCGCAGCTTTTCAGGAATGATTAGCTGTTTTCTTTTATTCCCATGGTGATCTTCGGAAATTCGAAAAAACAAACCGTCTTCTCGGACAAACTCCCGTTTTCCAGCGGTCCTTTGTTCTTGTACCTGCCTTCGGAGATCGCTTAAGGTATTGCACTCGTCTTGAGCCTTGATAAAATCTTCCTTTGTCACTCCTAATAGAGTATTCATCGGCTCGTCATTCGACCGGGGGGGGGGTAAGTAGTTTTCTCCTTCTGCGCATCCCGCGCTGACCCTTCTAACGGGGGTAATTTCACCCTCCTCCTCGTCATTCATTCGCCCCGCGGGGCGCTCAACTTCGTTGTTCTCTGGACCTTGGCTAGGGGAATTTTCTTTCCTGCTGCAAGCTTTCGTTTGACTGCGAGTCATAACAGCATTGATTTTATGGGGCTGCATTTTATTCTGTTCTATCAATCGGGCTGTTCGATTTCCCAGCAGATAATATTCTTGATTCAGGTCGGAGCTAATCACTGCGGCTTTAGTAATGACTTTCCCAAAGTCCTCTCCCTCTAATTCAATTCGAGCCAAGGGTAAACACAAGGAATGTAAATCTAGCGGCTGCTTAACCCACACTGTCTCTCCTAGAAGCATCTGATGTGTTACTTGGTCCCATCCGATCAGATCGATAGTGGAGCCAGTATCTCGGAGTACAGGCATTTCTCGATTATTTACTCTCGCTATACTCATATAGGGAGCTAGCCATGTATCTGGAGATTCTGAAGTGCCTAGTTTGTTTACAGCTTCAGCGGCCTCTTGTCTTTTTAACCGAGGACACTGAGGTCGGAGATGACTATCTGAATTACATTCATAACATCTAGGTATTCTCCGTTTTTCGAAAACACTTGACTTCCATTTCTCCGCAGTTTTTTCTTTCGAAACATTATCATGGCGACGTACTCGATCTGAAAATTCTCCTTTTTTCCTTTCTTTAATATTTGAATCCTGTTCGGTATTTTTAGTAAAACCTGTTGGTTTTTTTACGGACTTTCGTACTGCTTCATATTCATCTAATTTCTTCACTAGTTCGGCAGAAGATATTATACTCGG